TAGATTTGTATAAATAAAAGAGAAAATTAGTAAACACTGAAAACTCAAGTTAAAAAATAAAGATTTGTTTTGTAGGCAAAAAGAAGAGTTGGGATTAGTAAAAATCTACAAACACTATATTCAGAAGAATTGATTGTTCTGTTTTAAGAGCATATAAAACTTTGTTAGTTATTTAATGCAAAAAGATAAATATATGGCTTGTAAACAAACCTTTGGATTGTTGGTACCATCACTCTGAAGTTACACCTCTAGAACAGAGTTATTTAGTGCTAAATTTGTGGTATAGACCAAAGTCTCTATTTTTATTTATTTGAAAAGGTCATCCAGACTAGTGATATCATAAGATCATTGACCTACCAGAGCAAGATCATGGCAATTGGTTAGATTATTCTTTCCCATTATACACTTCTTATGCATTCAGGAGAATGTTCATTTTTTAGAAGAAATGATATAGGTATCTACTAGTCTGATTCTTGATAGGATGATTTCTTCCTTCAGAGAAAGTCTGAAACAATGTAATGCCATTCTCCTAGAATGAGTTTAATTTTGTGAAGTTTTTGGTTTGTGTGGTAGCTTCATAACTCTTGCCACTTGTTTACAATGCATGAGTTTATATTTGGTTTGAAGTATGTATAGGGGATTTTCAAATTTGAAATATTCATTTTTAGCGATTCCTTTTCCTGATATATCAGCTTTTCCACTTCTGCAGATGCCAATATGACTAGGTACCCAAAAGAAGACAGGGTTTTTTTTTCTTCCAGGTGAGAATGATTCTGTTTAGTAATTTAACTATTAATAGATTGTTTATATTTTTGTTTCCCATCAATTTAAGTATGGATATATATACTAATACTAGTTTGTTGCAATTTCTTACCAGAAGAAGTTAATAGAAACTTTAATAAAATCTTTTGTGTAAATTAATTTAATTCTCAAACATATGAAAAATGAATCATGTCTTGTAATCCAAACTGTCTCCAGTTGTGAAAATATGGTCAATGTTATATCAAACACAGCATGAAATTAATATTCCAAGCTTTCAAGCACTTATCATATATTTCCCAAACAAAAAAAAATGGTTAATTTCTGACAATAAGCCAATATTTTATCTGCAAACAAATTTGAATAGCTTCTGAGTGTTTTTGTTAAGACAACAGAAGAAAAATGGCAAATCATGAGATTTCTGCTAGTGCAATATCATTGGATAATAAAGTAATTTCCAGTCACGGAATGATTTGATGTCTCAACGAAAAAAACTCCAGGTATTTTTTAAAGCATTTCACCCCAAGAAAAATGGGAGTGCCACTAGCATACAAGAGAATGAGAGTAAAAGTAAAGACAGGTGTAAGAGGAAAGGATAAAGAGAAGGATGGGGAACAAGATCAAAGCAACAGAAGATGTCAATTGACATTATGTTTGAATATTTGAAGATTATATCTATCAGGGAAGCAAGTAAGAGGAAGGGAGTTCCACTGTTGAGAAGTGTGAGAGAAGAAGCTGTTGGAGTAGAAGAGTCAGTTACATTTAACTGTTTCAACAGTGAAAGGGTGGGGCTGAGATGCCAACCTAGTAGCACGCTTAAATTCATGCAGTTGGGTACCAGTGAAAGTAGCTCATCAAAGCAGTTGCCATGAAAATATTTGTTGAAAGAACAGAGGGAATGCACATCAGGTCTGTGAGAAATTGACCGAAGTCAAGATGCCTGCTCAGGACCTATCATATTGCATATCCGTCTTTGGATTTTGTCAAGAACCTTAAGATGAACAGCAGGAGCACCAGACCACATATGGCAACAGTATTCAATGCAAAGATAAATTGTAGATTTGAAGGATGAACTCAAGCAAGAAAAACCATCTGGCATGACACAGAGAACCAATTATCCTTACAGTAGATGAAGCTGTTGATTCAATGTAGTTGTTTCACCTCAGGTCATTGGAAAATGTGAGACCAAGAAGGTGCAGAGAGAAATGCTCTCATGGAGTTTAGCATCAGCCAAACTGATAAGAAGGAGGGACGTTTCTCTATGGTGGCTAAATGAAAGCAGTTTCATTCTGGAGGCACTAAAGTTTACAAGCCATTTCCTGCTCCAGTCAAATACAGATTGGATTATATTGCAATATACTGGATTCATACAAGACATAATTAAAACTTATATATTTAGGAAGCAAATGTTCTTTAAGGCAAATAGTATTAGAAATGAAAGACATTTAATGCTGATTAATTTCAATGATTGATTTTTTCAAGTTACAAACAATACTTCTCAGACAAGGAGTCAATTCTGTCAGAAATGTTCCTAAGATCATTTTGGAAGAAAGATACAGAAAACATGGTCCAAGCATTTGACTTTAAGTCATCTTCAAGATAGGTAGAGATAACTGGTGGGTTTAGTAAAATTCTGAAATGATGTAACAGTGCTAGTTTTAAAAATAAGTGATTTGAAGTATATGATGAAAATGCACAGAGGCCATTTTGAGATTTAAAGTCTTAACTAATAAGTTTTGTGACATAAGTGAGGTGTGAGGTATGTATTTTTATATATACTTTTAAGGATATGAGCTTTTAAGTTATAATGGTTTGTTTTTTTTATTGATGGTTGTTTTTGTTGTTTGACTATTACTTCAAGGATTATAAATCTGTTTTTACTATTTGATTTTGCTGGTATTTTATCATTACTTGTGAGTAGCTGTCTAATGTTTCTATGATCCTTGATAAAATCCAAAGAAGAATCCGTAATATTATTTATCTTGATCTGGCATCTTGGCTTCAGTCACTTTTTCACAACTGTAAAGTTGCCACCATGTGCCTATTCTATAAATATTTTCATGGCAATTGTTTGAATAGGCCCTTTTTAGATTTAAGCACAGTATGAGACTGGTGATGAGGTCTCAGCAATTTATAGTTGACTAGATGTAACTAAGTTTTATGATAACAGTTTTTTTCAAACATTTCTCATTTGAAACTCCTTTCCAGCTCCATGCTTTCCAACCAACTTTGATCTTCAAAAATTTAAATGAAATGTCAATCACTTTCTACTGTCCTAATTATTCTTATTTTGATCTTGCTCCTTAGTAAAGTTACACATTTCTAATTCTTCCATACCCAGTAACCCTTTGTGTCTTAGCAGCTTTGGGTGAAACTGATTTTTAAAAAAAAATGAAAAGATGTACTGTATAGACTTGTGTATAAGCCATCTTTGTGTGTAGTGTGGCCCCCAAATTTAAGCTCCCCAAGAAATAATTTAATAGTGTATGGTGCAACTAGTCACCAAAAATGAATAATCTTTAACCTCTTCAAAAAAAAAATACATGTGTATGGTGAGACCACCTATTTTTGGCATAACAAACTGATAATAAAAACTCATTCTCTACTCTACAGAATGTATCTTCTCTTAGTTCAAGTCTGAGAAGATTTCTGTTTGTTCTGAATCATTTTAATAAAAGTGGATTGAATCTAGTTGAGCAGAAAGTCAGAAACAGATTGTATTATTTTTGTATAAGGACTTCAAACCTGACTTGCTGTTGTAGAGTGAATGAAAATTTTTCTTCCTCCATATGAATCCGAATATGTTCATTGCCAAGTGTTGTATGTGGCGAACAAATTTTTTTTTTCTCTTTATGAGTTCGAATCCTCGTCGTCAAGTGTTGTAGAGTAGTTTCATAGTGGAGACTTGTATTTCACTGTCGGTCCTAAAAAGGTTCAACGTACAAAACGTTAGGAACTTGATATAATAGGTAATGACACAGAGAAATCTAGTGGTGGTCACTGATACTTTTAGTATCCGACTAACGGTCGTCCGACATCGACTGACTCAGCAACTCACTGCGTGACTATTACTACTACTCTTACTTATTATAGGTGGGAGAGTCTATTAACAATAGAATAGGTGTGTTCCAGTATAACACTTGCCCAGTAATTTTGGAAAATTGCTTCCCAATAAGAAAAAATAGAATGAAGTAAACAAAGTATCAAAACACTGGAAAATATAATTAAAACAAAGAAAAGTGTTCCAAACTGCTATGTAATATCTAATCTTCTCTATTCAAGTGAAGGCTGAAGTGAAGACTTAAACCACCAAATGCTAAAAATACCATGAACAGAACATTTGAGCAACACTAAGTCATAAGTAAAAAGAGGAAAAATAAGGAAACTTATACTTACAATGAGAAAGAGAAATTTCGAGCATAATAAAGAAGGAAAAGAAAGATCATTTAATACATACAAGACATATTGAAGGCAAGAGAAGCTGGTGGGAGGCAGCAAGTAATTGCATGAATGGATAGCAGAACAGAGACAAAGAAGGGATTGCAATCACAAGGAGGGACCCCTTAGGATCACAGGGACACCACATCTTCTGCAGCCATAGTGTTTTCTGGCAAAACACCCTGACAGATCCCAACCATCTCCAGGCTGGTTTGAATCCAGTGTTTCCCTTCTCCTAGACTGGTTACCAATCAAGGCTATAGAGTGCTATGTGTCCTGTTATTTGCCCATAGTTAGGTGGGAGAAGGAGATGGATTCATACCTTTCTTAATAGTATTTGCACATAAGGGAATGTAATAAACTGAACTAGAATTCAAACTTGGATTAATTTCTAAATCCATTAATCCACCATGCCTCTCTCTAATGGTAAAGTGGAAAAAATTACTTAGAATAACAAAGATCAGGAAGTTGTGAAGATCTATGATCGCCCACATCCAGAAAGGATTTAGTATATAAAAGTAGTAATTGTTAACATTTCCTGTTGTGAGATTTGATTGATTTCATGCTTATCAACCTTTTTAAAGTTTTTTAAAGTCAAAAGATATTATTGGATTCTAAGAACTTTTTCGAGATAATAATAATTTTCAGATATAAGTTTTACTATTTAGCCCATAGGTAGGAGGAAAAGATGCAGATTTATACATTTCACATACAAGAAAATATAATGAACCTGACTGGTATTCGAACTCAGCTGTCCGATTTATTATTCTGAACCATTATATCCATTACACCACATCCAAGCTTATAGCACCTAGTATTCTCAAGTGGTCACCCTTCTAATTACTGACCAGGTTCAATGTTGCTTAACATTGGTGATCATATAAGAACAAGTGTTTCAACCTGATATGGCCATAAACAATGTTGCAACATTTGGTAGAAACTAAAGTTCACTAGAAAGAAAAGAATCAGGAAAAGAATTTAAAAAATGAAAAAAAAAAAACAATATAACAATCTCAATAATGCCAACACAGCCATTTAGATGGCACTAATTATTACATATAGGGTGAGTAAAAATATTTAATGACCAACTTGATCAGTAATAACACATCAATTTGAGCTAAACTACAAAGTAAAAGAATTATTAATGGTATGTGTGCGATGAAGTCAATAACAAGTGTCAGTGATTTGAATTAGAATAATCAAGAAATGAAATTGACTTTCAACCAGAAATAAGTCTTTTATCCTCTGGCATTTTTCACAATCTATTTTATGCAACTTGTTTAAGCATCTATATGAATGGATACTGTGCACACAGGGTTGAAATATTTGAGAAAGTGAAGAAAATCTTTGTAGTTTTTAATTCTTGGCTGCTGAATGTTAGCTTGAGGCTATCAATATTTAATTTGCTGTTATGTTCAATAGATTCATTTACATTTAATTCATACTGTTTTCTTTGTTTCACAGAGATATATGCCTTGAATCAATTTTCTATCTATTACTTTGTGAGATGTCATTTACATTACATCAATCAACACAACTATCGACACACCCAAAGATATATATATATATATATATATATATATATATATATAGTAATCATTTCACCCCATGCAAGGTAGTAAAGCCACTATAGAAAAAGGGGTTACTGAGTGGGAAGGACTAAGAAAACAGAAATATTATTAATGAATGAGAACAATAGAAGAATGATCAGGAAGACCCTAGAATGACTGAGATTTCATTTTTTGAAGCTCAAAGTTGGTTGGAAGGCATGGAGCTGGAAAGAGAGTTTGACAAGTGAGAAGTGCTAGAACAAAAACTGCTAGCACAGAATTATATCTAGCCAATTCAACTCAAAATTGATGAGACCTTGATGCCAATCTGTTGCATAGTGCCCTCATGCTCGGTGGTCCTGGTGAACGACGCCAATTCGATAAAATGTTGCATCTTCTCTCTCAGACAAAGATCTCTAGATGTTTTTGGGCAGCAATGAATGGCATCAAACATGGAGAATCTTAACTGTGTAATTAATGCCAACATGTACTAACTATCCAGTGGGGGCCGTTCTCTCTCAGTGGGGAGCTATTTCAGATATGAATGAGAACATCTCTTGACGATTCAGACTCAACTCTCTGAAAAACCTTTCTCTATCACTCCCATGCTAGCTCAGCCAATCAAAATCAACTTCATTATTATGTCTTACATCTGACTCCAATAGTCAGCCTCTAAAAGTCGGAGCTGAAATACACTTGCCCCTAAAATTAACAGTCTGCTAAACTATTATTTAACAAGTCTATAACAGCACTCAAATTCACAAAGTCTATGTACCACAGAACAATTATCATGAAAGTACTTACAGAAAATGCACACAGAAACTATGTTATGGCATGGGAATGGTACTGAAACCAAGATGGTAGGTCAGTTCCAATAAAATTGCAGTTTCTTCTTTGGATTTTATCAAGAATCTCTAAATATATATAGCAGGAGCACTAGACCAGATGTAGCAGCAATATTCAAAGCAAGGACAAATGGTTGACTTATAAATATGTAAGATAGATTCTGGAGAGAAAAACTGCCTAGCACAACACAGTGAACCAATTTTTATAGTTACAGAGTTAGCAATTGATTCAATATAATCTTTCAATTTCATGTTAAAAGAAAATATTAGTCTGAGAAGGCACAATGAATTAATCTCCTGGAGGTTACGATCCTAAGGTTATTAAATACCAAGGAAGCTAAATTTGGTATCATTTTAATGAAAAATCAATATAATTTTGTATGAAATCAACTTGTAATAATTCATTTTTAACAGTTTTTGAAATGTATCAATTGCATGAACATCACATGTTTGGATTTTTCAACAATTTGATCAATACTCCATAGATTTAACAACTGGAATCTCTCAAAGGTAGAGAGAGTTATGGTTTTCAGGAAAGGCATGAACACATTTTTTCTCCTATCAGCTGCATGTTAAATAACAGAAAGGACCACATTAATATACCCAGCTATTTAACTGATATCTGGTGGTTGAAATGATAAGCTATGGATTTATTCCTTTTCCAAGGGCATTAATGTCAACAAGAGCATAAAAGAGAAACCTAGGAATCTGAACTCGGTTTATCATAACACTACCCACATGTTTATCTGTTTAATGATCTTCTTCTATATGCTGTGTACCTTCAAGACATAGGTGATCATGACTACCCAAAATCCTATTGTTTGCAGCTCTTAATAAAGTTTGCCTTTTTGCTATCTCTCCTGTTCTGCAAACTATATAGACAAGCTCATTACGTAGGTGACACACTGCTTTTCTCTATCACTCATGCCTTCAATATATCCTGTAAGTTTTTAATTTTCTAAGCACTCTTTCCTCATTATGCACCCTAAAAATTTCAGCTGTCTTTTTCTGAGGCTAAGTATAAGCATCCTTTTTATTTGAATTTTCTCTAAAATTTTGTCATTACTCACATCTTCAGTACATGGTGTCCTCTGTATCCTTTTTGGAAATAATCTCAGTTGTTTCATAATAATACAGTTAGAATATTTTTATCCTCTTCTATAAACTTGGTGCTTACAAACTCTTTGGATTTTTGAATGATTTGTTTTTTATGGTGTATCAACCTTTTACAGGTTATTTAAAGCCTGAAAATATTTTTAGACTGTAAGTACATTTTTTTAAAAGTAAGTGAATATAAGAAACCTAACTAGAATGAAACTGAACTCTCCAGTTTCCAATTCATTATCACCACCTCCACATTCAAGTCTACAGTCACCCATCTAGGTAATGACTGTTTCTCAAATTTGGTTATTGTACAAGAACTGGTACAAACTCTTTAGATCTAAAAAGAAGTACTTACAGAAGGTCTCATGAAATAATTATACATTGTGTAGAATTTGACTTAAAAAAGCTAAAGGGAAACATATACTATGCTATTAAGACAATGCTAGACTGCATGTATCTTTGGTGAGAGGGTTAAAACGTGTTACAGTTTTACTGCAAAGTTTTTCCTCGTCAGTCATGTTCATCAGATATTGCTGCTTTTAGGGGATTACTATTTATCATTGTCTTTACAGAAATGACTTAATGAAAAAATTCAACTTCTTAGAAGACTGCAAAAGAAATCTAGTGCACTTCTTTGTTGAGAAAGATAAAAAGTTTTGAGAAGATGGAATTAAGATGGCAGAAGATAGTTGAATATAATGATAAACATGCTGTTTAGTAATCTTGAGAATGAATTTTTTTATCCTTACTGAACAAAATGTTTATCTTACACTGTATAATAATAATAATAATAATAATAATAATAATAATAATTATTATTATTATTATATAATAATCATGCTTGTTCCTCTCTGTGTTAGTTTACATGACTGTTACACCCTGCCAATACCTCATAAATAATGGACTATTCCATTTTGATTGTGTGGAAGCACAGTCATATCAAGGATACTACTTGCTTTCAGTGATAAAATGTAAAAAAGAAGGGAAAACAGAAGTTTTTAACATCTGTTTCAGTGAAACGGAAAAAATATGAAATTTCAAATCTTTTAATTTGTACCTTCTTTCTTAAAATAACAACCAGCATTCATATTTATGATTGTTATGGCAATATTTTGTTAAAGTTGTTAAGCTCAAATATTTAACAAAGCAATAAAGGGATTTCTACAGTTATTTTATTTTTGTAGAACTCAACATGAGCTTATTCAATCATTCTGAAGAATTAAGATTCATCAGAAATTTCAAATAGGAAAACTGAAATTTTCATTGTATAAAACTAGTAATTATATATATATATATATATATACATGAATTGGGATCAAGTATGGGTTAGAATGTGACAATGATAAAATAAGAAACAAATAGGAAATGATTATAATTCTAGCATGTTTCACTTTTATTTAAGCTTCATCAGAAATTAAATATGGGGAGGAAAGTTCTGGTATTTTTTTTATTTTTTTGTTGTTTGTTTTCTATTATCATTTTTCCATTGATAAACACACTTCATTATATCACCAACTTTGATAAAATCCATACTTGAAGAATCTAGATCAGCTTACCCACAACCACAACTGGTGTACCCTAAATTCTTTTGCTTCCACACAAGCCCCCCCACCAGTCAACATACAGACATTATCGCACAGAAATAAAGAATACCCACATGAACACAAATTATCAACCAAATCCCACATAAACCAACTAGAATTATGGTACGCAGAGACTCAATAATTATATACAGACACAAATGCTATCAGACAAGACAAATACATGAGGTCTACTTGACCGATGAAAAACAAACAGAAAACTAGAAATATTAGAACTTTCTCTTTCTTATTTCATTTGTGATGAAGCTTAAATAAAAGTGAAGTTTCTTATTTGTCTCCTGATCCTATCATACATAGATGAAATAAAGATTATATTATGCCAGAAAAACATTGACTAGGGTAATGATTTTAAGTCAAGATGGAAACAGAAAGGAAACTTCTATTTAAAATCAAAAAGAAAAAAAATTAAATTTCTATGGTGAATAAGGAGGAGAGAGGGCTTGGAAAATTTAACATTCACAGGACATGTTGAAGAATAACCTAATGAGCATGTGTAAATGGCTGGTAAAACAGGGATTAGAAGAGATAATAAAACGATAAATTTTATTAAGGGCTACAGAGAACACAGCAAAATGAAGAATAAGAAATGTTTGTAATTATAGAACTAAATATCAAGAGAGATCAGAATAATAATAATTAAAATTAAATATGTTAACTTACTTTGTATCTATGCTCAGTATTATGGAATTGTATCTAATCTTCAAGACAGTTGAATGAAAAATGAATGAAAAATGATTCTGCAATTAATTCTACTGAAGAGATGATATAATTCTATGAAACTTATAGTAGAGACAATATAAGGGAACATATTTAA